AGTCAACTAATTAAAGATCCAACTAGAATTTCGCCAAACCATGAATCTGTAGTAGATTTAATTTATGTAAACAAACCTTAACTGATTATCGATGGTGGCGTGGTACCATATGACCCTATACAAACCGACCATGAGGTTAATTTGAAAAGCTCAAACAAGTCAATAAGATTGTAGAAAGTAGAAGTTTAATAATGGCACACACGGAGCAATTTCAGGCAGAATTACAGAGTATAGATTGGCATAACCTTTATGTTTCTTGTGATATTGATGTTAGGGTCTATATTTTAAATAAAAATTTCTTAGATCTGTTTAATGTGTATTGTCCTCTTGAAAAGATTGAACTGAGGAAACCAAAACCTCCCTGGCTTACATATAATTTAAAAAAAAAACAATTGAACCAAAACATAAAGCATTTTCTAAATATAAAACATTAAAGTCTTTTGAAAGTAAACAGTACTACCTACAGCTAAAAAAGTATATAGCGTATGTAGTTAAGGCCGGAAAAAGGCATACTTATTTTTTTAAACAATTAAATGAATGTACTGGTACAAATAAAATTAAACTAATTTGGGATAAAATGTCAAAACTGAATATTACACCTAAAAACACTAAAGATATTCTAAATAATTTTAAACAAGCTGATGTAATAAATTATCATTTTTTGAATAATATTGTTGTAAAGTCAATATCAATTATCGTTGATTGTCCTTTACTTAGTTTAAGCCTTCATTTTAAGTCATAATTATATTTAAACATTGTAATACATTTTATGCAACTTATTATATTCTATTTTCTAGTAAATGCTAAATGCTGAAGCAGCAAACCGTGGTTGCCACCTAAAAGTAGGTTACTTTATAATTTCAAACCATCATTTTGTCACGTGATTAGGTTGGCAACAAAACTGTTTGTCGCTAAGCAAGCAGCAGTAGTAGTAATGTTAATTTCCACATAACCATGTATTAATCTCTGCTACTCACGTCACACAATATACGCACAGTGGCTTCAGTATATTAATTTTCTCAACCAATTAAGTAATAAATTCTAGTAGTGATCTAAGGATTTAACTTGTTTTTTTTCTTGTTTACGCCGGATACGACCCAGAACCTTCTTCGCAAACCTCAAGTTTCAAAGTTGTGGAAACTCCACAACATAATTTGGTGTCAGGTGTGAAGGTTAATCGATGGTTACTCGAGAAGAAGTGCAGTTCAGTTTGGTTCAAGCTATTCGGCAATAGTAACAAGAAAAGAATTGTTGAGTAAAAATTTTTTTTTTAGTCATCAGCCAAGAAAACGATCCAGTGATCAATCAAGAAAACGGTCCATTCTTTAGCCAAGAAAACAGAAGGTGACTTTGTACTGCGCGGATAGTTGAAGCTACTCCAGAGTCCGGTACTCTTGAATTTTGGTTCCCGAATTCCGCTCACCGTGGGATTCTTTTGGACTTTTTACCGATTTTTCGAGACTAGAATTTTACTGTAAGTTAACTGTGTCTGTATATTCATTTTTTTTTATTCTGTATATTTACCCTGTTATTTTATTTTATTTTTTGCCTTACAAAATGCTTTATAACTCTTAATGTCTGACGAAAGAAATTACGAAAATCACTCTGACGATTCTAGTGAGCCTGATAACTTGCTATACGAAAACGATTTATCTGTTTTAATAGTTGATGAAACTGGAATTGTCGAAAACATGCCTAAATTGAACGTTGATTTTGCTTTAAAATTAATTCCCGATTTTAACGGAGATAGAAAAGATTTTCACAAATTTGCCTCATGTTGTGATATTGTAAATGCTGATTTGACTCAAATCGCAGATAAACAATTATTGGTTAGCATCATTAAATCTAAATTATCTGGTCCTGCCTATAATGTCGTCAAGCATAAAATCCTTGCAGACTGGGATGAACTTAAAATTACTCTTCAAGAACAGTTTTTAGAGACTAGAAGTATTGCTCAACTACAGTCTGAATTGATTAGAGCTAAACAACAACCTGGTGAATCAGTTAGGGCGTTTGCTAATAAAATAGAACAGCTTTTAAATGATCTTAATGATGCTTGTATAGCTTCTGAAGGCGTTGCAGCATCAGCAACAATCAATAACTTAAATTCAAAAACCGCATTTAAATCTTTTGTCGAAGGCCTAAATCAATCTTTAAAATTAATAATCAAAGCTTCCAGATTCACTAAATTGAGTGACGCTATTGATGCAGCAGTCGAAGAAGAGCGAAATCTCAACGAAAACTTTAATCAGCACAAAAACAAAAATAAACCATTCAAAAAATGTAATTACTGTAAAAAAAATGGACATGTCGAAAACGAGTGCTTTATTAAGAATCGTTCCTCTTCTTCTCAACAGCTTCCTACATTTCCGAAGCGAGAAATTAAAACCGAGGTTCATGTTACCAATATAACTTGTGCATATTGCAAAAAACATGGTCATCATATCAAAGATTGTTTCAAGAAAAAAAGAGCCGATGAATTTAAAAACAATCCTAATCGAAACGCTAGAAATTCTGCAAATCCTAATAATTACAGCCAGGGAAACTTCCAAGCACCAGTTGCGAGCAGCGGCGACGCAACGACGGTGACCCAATTGTAAATTGCCGTCCTATAAAATCATTCAATCTTTCAGAAAGTTCTGTCAAAATACATAATGTGTTGCAAAATCCTCAATCTTGTAGTCCTAAAAAAATTACTTGTCCTCTTGTTCCAAAATCCTATACAAGTAAATATCCTATTCCTAATAATTCTTATACTACAAGCAATCCTTATTTAAATGAAGCAACCATTCCTGAAACCAATATCCTTTGTGTAAATCCTTGCGTCATTGAAGAAGCAGATAGCATTCATATGCCCTTTTATTTAGCTAACAATGACGAAGTTAATCTTTTAATTGATACTGGTTCTCAAATTACAATTTTAAAAAAATCTTGCATTAAAGGAAACGCCATATGCTATACCGACTATAAGGCATATCTTAAAGGCATTTCCGATTCTTTAATTGCTACTTACGGAATCTGTTATGGGGAGTTTAAAATTGGAGGAGTCAATATTACTCACCCTATACATTTAGTAAAAGATAATTTTCCTATACCGCAAGATGGCATACTTGGAAAGGATTTTCTTATAAAATACAAGGCTAATATCGATTACAACAATAATACCTTATCTCTTTCTTATGAAAATAAAATAATTCCTTTACCATTTGACACATCAAAAAATAAAACCATTATTAAAATTCCTGCTAGAAGCGAAGTCATACAAAAGGTTAAAACTTCTCATGTTCATGAATCTTTATGCCTATCAGCAGAAATATGCGAAGGTGTTTATGTGGGTAACTCTATTATTAAACCAGTTCATGGTTATTGTTTTATCACATTTATAAATACTAATGAAAAATCTGTCACACTCGAAAATCCTCAATTGAGTTTTGAAAATCTTGAACTTTACGATGTTCTTTCAATAAACAAAACTCCTTGCAATCTCGATCGTCTTAATCTGCTTACCAATTCGATTCGGACGTCTCATATGTCTAGCGACGAGCGTGAAAGTATTCTTGAAATTTGTAAATCGTTCCATGAAATTTTCTTTCTTGATTCCGACGTTTTATCTTGTACTGAAACAATTACGCATTCTATTCCTACCACAGATGATATTCCTATCAATGTTAGACCCTATCGTCTGCCGTATCACCAACAGGAAGAAGTCAAACGTCAAATTGACAAAATGCTCAAAGATGATATAATTTCTGAATCCTCGTCTGCTTATAATTCTCCTTTATTGGTTGTACCCAAGAAACCTGATATTCATGTTAATCGTAAATGGCGCGTAGTCGTAGATTTTCGTAAACTTAACGACAAAACCCTTTCTGAAGTTTTTCCGTTGCCCAATATAACAGAAATTTTGGATCAGCTCGGAAACTCTAAATTTTTCTCTACACTCGATCTTGCTTCTGGTTATCATCAGGTCCGTACCGACCCAAAAGACAAACACAAAACTGCTTTTAGTACGTCTAATAATCATTACGAGTTCAATCGTATGCCCTTTGGTCTAAAAGGAGCCCCCTTTACATTTACAAAATTAATGAACAGTGTCTTGCTAGGATTTCAAGGAATTAAGTGTTTTGTGTACCTTGATGATGTAATTATATATGGTAAAACTCTCGAGGATCACAACTCCAAACTCAAGGATGTTTTCAATAGGTTTCGCCTTCATAACCTTCAATTGCAGCCAGAAAAATGCGAATTTCTTCGCCCTGAGCTTACATATTTGGGTCATACAATAACTGCCGATGGTATCAAACCGGATGAAAATAAAATTAAAGCCATTAAAGAATTTCCTACTCCTAAATCTCCAACTGAAATCAAACAGTTCATGGGGTTAGCTGGTTACTATAGAAGACACATACAAAACTTTGCAAAAATTGCCCAACCCATGAATAATTTGCTCAAGAAAAACATTTCTTTCCATTGGTCTCCTCTTTGTGTAGAATCTTTCGAAACTCTCAAGGAAAAACTGTGTAATCCTCCGGTCCTGCAGTACCCCGATTTTTCGAAGGAATTTATTCTCACTTGTGATGCAAGCAATTTTTCTGTAGGAGCAGTACTTTCACAAGGGACAGTTGGCTCAGACCGTCCCATTGCTTTCGCATCCCGGACATTGAATAAAGCAGAGCGAAACTATAGTGTCATTGAAAAAGAACTATTAGCCATAACCTGGGGAGTCAAGCATTACAGAGCCTATCTATATGGCCGTAAATTTTTGATTGTCACCGATCACAAACCTTTAATATGGTTATTTTCCGTGAAAGACCCAGGAAGTAGGTTAATGAAATTTCGTCTTAAACTCGAAGAATACGAGTACGAAATAATCCATAAGCCCGGCAAATATAATACAAATGCCGATGCATTAAGTCGAATCGTATATGACGTGAATCCAGTAAGCACACGAAACAAAAATTACGATCTTAATCAATTAACCTTTGAAAACTTTCTCATAGAAAAGGAGTCCTCCATAATCATTAATAATAATATAAAAGATTCACACAAAAATATTTCTGATTCCAACCCTGAATATTTGCGTGCCTATTTCATAAGTAAAGACAATTCGCAACTTCCCGATGACCTTAACGACGAAGCAAAATGCAAGTTGCAATCGGACACCTTAATCGTTTTAACACCGACTGTTATTACAATAAATAACATTAATTATGTTTTTATTCCAACGCATGAATCTAATACTATTGTAACGAATGAAATAATTTTCGAAGCAATTAAATGTTTGAAATCTTTTGCACATACAGGTGATTACCATAAAATAGCCTTTTCTAATCCTACGAAATATTCTCCGTATAAAAGTTTACAAATCGAAAACATTCGCATTATGTTTAGATATATATTTCGTGGTAATTCAGATTTGGTAGAAATTCATCATAATAATCTAAGGAAAATTAAATCTAAGGATGAAATTCGTAAAATCTTAAAAGAATTCCATGATTCTCCACTGGGAGGTCATTTAGGTGTCAATAAGACCTTTAATTGAATAAGAAGTAAGTATAAATGGTCCAATCAATATAAAAGTGTTAAAAATTTTGTAAAATCTTGCGATTTATGCCAAAGGAATAAATCATCAAAATACACAAAGATGCCATTAACTGTCACCACTACAGCCTCCAAACCTTTTGAAAAGGTAAGCCTTGATATCGTGGGACCTCTGTCCGTAACAAATTCCCGAAACAAATATATTCTAACATTTCAAGATGAACTAACAAAATTTTGTGAAGCTGTACCTCTTGAAAATCAAGAAGCCGAAACCATTGCAGAAAAATTCGTTTCACACATCATTTGTAGACACGGTACTCCAACTTATCTTTTAACGGATCAAGGTCAAAACTTTTTAAGCGAATTATTTAAAAATGTCTGTGAATTATTGAAAATTACAAAAATTCAAACGACCGCTTTCAGACCTCAAAGCAATGGCAGTCTTGAAAGGTCACATAAAAGTCTAGGCGAATATTTACGAAATTTCGTCACAAAGGATCAATTAGATTGGGATACATGGATCCCTTATGCAATTTTTACTTATAATACTTCCATTCATTCCGCCACAAACTTTACTCCTTTTGAACTTCTTTATGGGTTCCCTGCGGAAATTCCTAATTCTTTACAAAAGCCTCCTGAATTAAACTACAACTATGACGATTATGCGAACGAGCTAAAAAGTCGCTTGCAACATAGTTATGAATTGGCTAAACAAAATCTTATCAATTCTAAAGAAAAATCGAAAACCACTTATGACCAAACTATTAATCCAGTCACTTTTAAGGAGGGTGAGATGGTATTACTTAAAAACCAATCAAACGCAAAAGGGAAATGTAAAAAACTAGAACCAATTTGGAATGGCCCCTATAAAGTAATTAAAGCAAATTCAGAAATAAATTCAACAATTTTAGTCAAAAATAAACATCAGAAGGTTCATAATAACCGATTAAAATTATATAACTCAAGGTAGTCATTTTATTCTTGTTTCAGATGAAAGCCATACTAGCAATTCTTTCCATTTCATTTGCATGCATACTGGGCGATACAAAAACGAAATTTTTCACCTTGCAGGCAGTCAACAGAAGTGCTGGTATCCTGTACGAATCTTTTGATACAGTTCATTTAGAAACTAGTTCATGGAAGTTGATTAATTCTATAGATTTAGAAAATTATTATGACCTCTACGATAATTTTATTTTTAGTTATAAAAAAATGGTAGAACTTTGCGATTTGAGAGATTCTCAAAAGGAATATTTAAAACCTTGCATTATGGCAAAGAGCCTATTTAATCGGATAAGTCGTGTTCTTCACCGTGTTCAAGATAATAACAGTATAATTGGAGAAATTCTAAATAGCCAGCAATTTTTAAATCGAACCAAACGAGGTTTAGTCAATGCCGTAGGCAATGTTGCAAAGGTTTTGTTTGGAACCTTAGATGAAAATGATGCTAAACATTTCAACGAAATTCTCCAAAAACTGGAAACAAATCAGATAAATATGCAACACTTACTGTCAGAACAAACAAGTATTTTTGAAAATACCATTCTATCTCTCAACTCATCAAATCAAGCAAATAAACAAATTTTTGAAAATTTAAACGGAAAAGTCAATCAAATTGAAACTTTCATCAATAATCACATAAAAGGTGTTATTGATAATATCACTTCATATGAAAATTTCGCATTACAGTTCTCTGAGTATTTTTCTCTATTCGAACTGGTCTCCGAACAGTTCCAGTTTTACCAAAGTGATCTATTAAACATAATTTTGTATGCTCAAAATGGTATTTTACATCCTTTAGTCCTAAGTCCAAAAAGGCTCATAAACCATTTAGTTAAGCAAAGCATGTATTTACCAAAAGGGTTATCATTTCCTGTACCTCTTTATCATCATTATTCTCATGACCTGTATAAAACAATGCATCCAAATGTGTTTTACTCAAATTATAAATTGTACTTTATTTTATACATACCCCTTGTAAGTGATATTTCGTACAATATCGTTAAGATGACAAGTTTACCTATAAAAGTGAATAATGATAAACTTTCTCATATATTCTCATTTATTTCATCAGAACACCATTACTTAGTAATAGATAGTCTTAAGCGAAACTATTTTTTTCTTGATAACAATGATTTGAAAGATTGTTCAAGAATAGATAATAAGTACGTTTGTAAAGAAAAATATCCCTTGTTCCTTTTACCAATACATAATGATTGTGAGGCACTGCTGTACACTCATCCTCAGAAAATTCCTGAGTCTTGTGAAAAACGAGTTAGTGCCATTCATAAAACAATTTTTATCAAAATTCTGAAAATAAATTCTTGGATTTTTGTTAGTCCAAACGATGAAACTCTCACAATAAAGTGTCAAAATTTTGAAGACTCTATTCGTTTAAACAATTCAGGCATTTTAGAACTTGCACCGCACTGTATCGCTTTTACAAGTTCTGTCACGCTAAAGCCAATTGATACCAAAGAAGCAAATGAGTCATTCATAAACACAAATTATTTTCAAAATCTTGACATTAAAAATGAAATCAATAATCAAGATCTTCGTTTCAGTTTCATGGAAACTTTGTCCTTGAATAAAAGTATTTTAGTACTTCCTGATCAAAATGAAAAATTAACAAAAATTAGTTATTCCATCGATGTATTAAAAGCAAAGGAACAAAAGATGTTAAACCAAAAATCTATTGATTTTAACCATATTCATCATTATATTCTAGTATATTTAGTAGTGTTTTTAATTGTAAGGTACGTAGGTTTTAAGAAATATAAAACAATGTGCGTTAATCAAGATAAAAGGAAATGTGAAACTCCAAGTGCAACCGCTGAAAGCATCTGTTTAACAACGCGAGTGCCGCGAATAGACAAAACCGCTGACGTCCAGTTTAACGAAATAGCTGATAGTAATTCCAAAGTTTGTAATTCTAATCTTGGTGAAATTCGTAACCCCAGTTACAAATTTCATTCTTAGGAGGGACGGATGTTGTAAAGTCAATATCAATTATCGTTGATTGTCCTTTACTTAGTTTAAGCCTTCATTTTAAGTCATAATTATATTTAAACATTGTAATACATTTTATGCAACTTATTATATTCTATTTTCTAGTAAATGCTAAATGCTGAAGCAGCAAACCGTGGTTGCCACCTAAAAGTAGGTTACTTTATAATTTCAAACCATCATTTTGTCACGTGATTAGGTTGGCAACAAAACTGTTTGTCGCTAAGCAAGCAGCAGTAGTAGTAATGTTAATTTCCACATAACCATGTATTAATCTCTGCTACTCACGTCACACAATATACGCACAGTGGCTTCAGTATATTAATTTTCTCAACCAATTAAGTAATAAATTCTAGTAGTGATCTAAGGATTTAACTTGTTTTTTTTCTTGTTTACGCCGGATACGACCCAGAACCTTCTTCGCAAACCTCAAGTTTCAAAGTTGTGGAAACTCCACAACAATATACCTACCTCAAACTAGTGTTGACCCAGAAGTCTTAAATTGTTTTCTCAGTTCAACTGCAGGTTGGGAGCCATTTCATTTTTCCCTTGTGACTGATGATGATATTTTAGCATGTATTGAAAGTATTAAAAGTAATGCTGTTGCTGTGGATCACATCTCTATAAGAATGTTGAAAGTTTGTTCACCATATTGTCTGAAGCCTCTAAAGTTCGTGCTCTAAAGTTCATTTCACGAAACGAGAAAGTAGAGGTAAACAAACAGGCGGAGCGCAAAAATCCAGAGAAGGACTGCGAAAATATGAATTACAACCAATGACATTTATTACAACAGACGCTACGAGTGTTGTCAGGTTGTCATATGAGTCAATAAGTTTTGGTGTCGTATTTCCTAGTATTTTACAATTATTCAAATAGTGTTTGGTGAGTTATCGTTAATTAGTGAGCAATTTAGATTAAAACAATGTCAAGTTCAACAAATTCTGCTGAAGAATTCGTCCCTGAAAAGCGGACTGAACGAGGAAGGGCTTTTAGTAGGTAGTTCAGATTTTTTTTCAATTTATAATAATAATAATAATAATAATAATAATAATAATGTTTATTTACAGCAATATTTACAATAATAACTATCTCTATCCTACATCACTTCAAGCCGAAATAAACATTTCAAAGGCATTCTAAAGCCTAATGGCTTGTTTGCCCAAAAATGTTTGATTTGATGTCTCAAAGTGGCGGATTAAATCAACTTGCAAATCGGTATCAGTGTATTTTTGGAAAATAGTGTGAAGCCGTTCAAATGGGTAGATAACTAACATAATAATTGAAAAAATCTATTAAAGCCGCCCATGAAGAAAAAAAAATTAATTAAAAAAAAAGAAGAAAAAAAAACATTATTTTGTATTTTAGAATGCCGCTAAGCATTTCAATAACCGATGCAAAACCAAAATGAAGAAAAAAATCAAGAAAAAAGAAAATACTATATCTATATATACATACTTCCCTACCCCTATCCAGCACACACATTGTTACAGTTTAGGATTAAATTATATGTTTTTTATTGTGTCAAAGTTAGGTAATATCTAATATCAGGTAATGTTGTCATAATCGGGAAAAAAAAATATGTCATAATTCAGAGTTGTCATAATATGGGTATTTTGTTTATTCATTTTTCAATTTACTCTTAAATGTTTTTTTTTTTTATTATTATTATTATTTTTTTCTATTGTTCTTTATGTAGGTAATTCAATAATATATAATAATATTTTGATCCTAATTTACACGTTGTGAAAATTCTTGATATCTATCCAGCTATGTATAATTTTTCTCGGTACAGTTATCAGCCATTCTTTAATTTTTTGTTTAAATTTTTTTAAAGTATTCAAATCTGAAATATATTTCGGAAGGGTACTGTATATTTTTGGACCCAAATAATAATAGCTTCTCTGGGTTACTGTTTTGTCGACTTTTGGGACTCTGTAGGTTATTTCGTTCTTTCGGGTATTGTAATTATGTTCCACTTTAACTAAACTTGTTTTATGTTTATGTTGTCGCACTGCTAGTGCAAGAGTAAATAATTTTCTTACATCGAAAAATTCTGTTTCTTCAAAAAGTAATTCGGAAGAGTAACGATATGGCTTATTGTAAATTATTTTAATGCACCACTTTTGTACTTTTTTTAAACTGTCTAAGTGAATATTTGTTGTTCCGCCCCACGCCACAATTCCATATGATAAATGGGGTTCTACAAGAGCTTGATATAGCATACGTAACTGTTTTATTTTAAAGAAAGTTCTTAAATGTTTAAACCTATGCAATAGCGACCTTATTTTATTTGTTACAAATTTTATATGTGCATCCCAGCGGAGGTGAGCATCGATGAAGATACTGAGATATTTTATTTTGAGAGTTTTTTCTATCGACATTGGTGGACAATCACAGCTTTCATTATGATATAACTTTAGTATTGGCATATGAAGTGAAAGGCAAAAAGTAAGTTTTAGAAAAATTAACAGTCAAATTCATTTTGGTAAGAAAATGTATAACTTTTCCGGTTTCTTTTTCGGCCTTGTCTTTCAAAGTTTCCCAATTATTCGCTGTCAAATAGATTGCCGTGTCGTCCGCAAAGCTTAGAACTTCTCCGTCTATATCAAGTTCGAAAAGTCGATGTAGATAAATGTTAAACAAAGTCGGACCTAACACTGTCCCCTGGGGGACTCCGTATGTAATAGTTTTTGGATCGCTGGATTCTTCTTGTAGAATAACTATCTGGGTTCTTTGTTCCAGGTAATCTTCGAACAGTTGATGAGCCTTTCCGGTTATTCCTATATTGTTTAATTCATCAAGTAGTTGCTTATGTCCGACTGTGTCAAAAGCTTTTGATAAATCTAGGAATACTGCTAGTGATGGTTGTCTTTTTTCTATGCTTTTGTGTATACGTGTAGTCAGAAACTGTATAGCATCTTCCGTGGATTTTTGTTGTCTAAAACCAAATTGGTTATCTGAAAGATTTTTTTTATTTTCCAAATATTCATCCAATCTTTTTTTTATAATTTTCTCTAAAATTTTTGTGAAGTTTGTTATTAACGATATCGGCCTATAATTTGAAACATTGTTTTTTTCCCCCGCTTTAAATAGTGGCTTTATTAATGTAGTTTTGAAAGAGCTTGGAAATGTTCCTGAGGTAAAAGATTTATTTATGATTAATTTCAATGGTTCTGTTATGTATTTCGAGATTTTTTTTATTAGTTCGCTTGTAATGCAGTCTATTCCTGGAGCTTTCTTATTTTTTAGCTCCCTAATTGTTTGTTGTATTTCTTTTTTATTACTTAATTTGAGTGTAAATTCCTTTCTTGGTTTATTTGTAGGTGCCGCTGCTGTCTGCATAGTTTCTCTCATACTCGATTTACATTTTTTTATATTTTGAACCAAATCATATAGACCGGTGGCCCAGCGTCAAATCACCCCCCTCATCGGGCACAAAATTTTCATTATAGGTACTCGAAACACTTTATCATTCGTAACCAAAAACCGCCCGTCTGCCAGCGAGGGGGTGGTAGCCCGCCCCCGTGACCGCCCCCCAAAAAAGGGAATTTTGATCAAAAATCCCCCTAACGAGTACACAAATGAAATTTTTTGGGCATGTAGAGAATTATATCAGAAACCTAAAAACACGTGGCAGACGCCTTCCAGTGGTAGCCCGTTCAGGGCAACGACCTTGAAAAAATATAGGTATATATATGACGTGAAACTCCCCTTACGATTACATTCACAAAATTTTGTAGGCTTAAACACAATCAGATTGGTGTGCTAAAAATGCATGGCAAATGCCTGCAAGTGGTAGCCTGTCCAAGACAAAATTTCGCTGAAGCGTTTCTCATTATGAATAAAGACATTAAATGAAACTACAACATAAGTATTAGGGACGGAACAAAAACACAGATTTATGTATTATTCAAGATTACTTAGCATTGATAATGCTAAATAAGAGTTACAGATTATATGGGAATACGGTAAAATGTAGAATAATGACTCTTCCAGTCCTAACTTCATAGAGATTCATTACGGGGGGAAGTCGATAATTTGTTGGAAAATTCGTGAAAAATTAATGGTGATTTGTAGGGATTTTTTGAAGTTTGAGGATGATAGAGTTGACCATAAAGCGCAGCCAAGAATAGTTTTTTCAGTCAAGTTAGGTCCGGGAGAGTCAATACGGGAGGAAGTCGATAATTTGTTTGAAAATTCTTGAAAAATTAATAATGCTTTGTAGGGATTTTTTGTCATTTCAGGAAGAAAGAATTGACCCTGAATCACATTCGAGAATACTTTCTCCAGTCAAGTTAGTTCTGAGAAAGTCAATACGGGGACTAATAAGGTCGATTATCGCATAAGTTTTTCCCCTCTCTAATATTTTTTCTGTTTGCCCATCAGTTGAAGGGTCTGATCGATAGTTCATAAACATCATAAATCTATCCTTCCAAATTCTCTTAGCTTTACGCATAATTTTTTTTTTTTTTTGAAATTGGTTTTCAGTGTCATAAAATGTGACTGACATAACTTTAGGTGCAATCTTGAACCTTTGTCAATCGTGAACAAATGGACCGATTTGGGATTTTTTTAGTTTACAGCCGTTTCTTCTTTTATCGAAGCTAAAATTTTTTTCAGATTTTTCAAACAAATAAAGTAAAAAATTGTGAAGACATTTTTTACAGAATCTCAAGCGAGTGTAAAAAGTGCGGTTTTACAAAAATAATTTTTATTCTTTCTAAACAACAAATCCCTTCAATTATATTTAATTTTCTGAGAATTTACAAAAAAATTATCGACATCCCGCCAAAGCGACTCTTCCAGAATCAACTTGACTAGAGAAAATATTCTCGAATGTGCTTAAGGATCAACTCTATCCTTCTTAAACTTAAAAAAATCCCTACAAAGCATCAATAATTTTTC